AGCTCTACATGAAGAGCTCTAGGTCACTAAGGAATGCTGTGGCAGGAGCAACAGTCTTCCTCAGGGCAGAACACACCAATGGGCTATCCAATGCCAAATTATCAGCCCTGAAAACATACATACGCGTATACAGACTAAGCATGTTATATTTAAGAATATATATGCACCTGTGTATATATACATACATGATGTAATAACAATGAAAAGAGAACAAAGGGATATACAGGCAGTTTGGGAGAGAGCAGAGGAGAGGGGAAATGATGTGATTATACTATACACTATATTATATGTTGGGCCCCATTTCGGTCCTAGTTTGGGTCTTGTGGACAAACCTGCGCCTGGCTCGAGTTTGAGACCTGTCTTAGTCACTTCCATACCAGAGTGACTCAACAGGATCTGTTTGGCCCTGCCTCTGCTCAGCTGTTGCTGATGTAGAGCTTTGCCATTGGCCCTGTCAGTCACCCCATACTCTCCGTCACCCTTCCCCGCCCCCTACGTCATCTCACCCCACCAAAACCCCTCCTCCCTATGCTCTGAGTCTATTTAAACAAGAGGTTGTCACATTAAAGTTGAGTTCCTGCTTTGACAAGACTCCTGGCCGGGTGTATTTCTTTGGGTTGCTGACACTCACCGTCCCGCTCAGCTTCGGGGAGACCCAGCAAGACCAGGACCTCTCTCTCCTCTGGACTGGACCTGCCGACTTTAAGGAGCCGACAATTATATATTATATAACATTATTATACAATATATTATTACATAATATATACATATATAATATAGATATAATACATGTATACATACAAATAATATATGTACATATCTACATATACAATTTATAACATATATACATATAGAATGTATACATGATATATAAGAAATAATTAAAAAATCAAGAGTAAAATCAGAAATGTGTCATTCCCCTTGTCCGTTTTCTTAAAGATAGTATAGAAATGAGAGTCCTTAAAGTTTTGAGAATATTAAGAAAGTCTTTTAATTCTGAAACATCTAGTGAGGCTGTCACAGAAAGATTATTTCAACTTTTAGTGACAGAATCATCGCACTTTGTCATCCAGAGGTCAGCCAGAGACACTTAATCTCAGGCTCTTGTCTGAGACTCCGAATGACCACCCTTCCAAGTCTGCATACTGAGCTGCCTCTGGTTTCATGGGGCCTTGCCTCTGACTAGTGTTCTCTGCTGGGTACTATAGTATTTCCAGTTACCAAGAAAAACAACAGACTCTTCTTCTGGTCATTACAAGTTACTTGCCTTCCAACTCTTAGTTGCAACAAGGACATGAAAACTGCTTTTCTTAGGAATTACCCCTATTTGGCAAGGTTGTGATAGAGAATGTCATACTTACGGCCCATTGCCACATGGACATGCTTAAAGGTGCTATCGCCTAGGATCTGGTGTGCCACGGTACAGCAGTGAGTGAAAGCTCTGACACAGACCGGGCCTATCTTCACGCGGGCAGCCCTCTGTGCGCAGGTCTCACGGACCTTATGTTTGCTTCCATCGTAACAGCATTTCTTTATCATTGGATGTTTGTATTTAGAAGCTGAAATGGTGGCAACACATGTGTCCTTATCACCAATATGCATGACACCTCGGGCTTGAGAATCTTACGGCCATTTTCTCTGCCATCAAAGACTCCTTCCCCAAATGTATTTATGGAAAACAAGTATTTTAGATAGGTTTTGGCATGAAAGTAATTTCAGGTTAAGGATATGGCCAATAAAATCCTGAATTTACTTCCATGAGTGTTTTTGAGGGGTGAACTAATCCTTTACATCTGCCTTTTTCCCACCTGCTGCATTTTAATTGGGGAAACCCCATGTCTTATTCTCCCGGGTCCTTGAATGCTGTCATCTCAGTGGTTTACGGCTCATTGAGCTTGTACAGTACCTTGTTCTTTTATTTTCTGTTCCAGACAATCTGATGGCTGGTGACACATGTCATGTACTTCTTCTGTGAGGGAGAGAGTGAATGGGGGAGGAGCGTTCAGGGTCATAGTGTTGCCATATTGCTTAAAAATTGATCTTGTCCCCGCAGGATCGACTCTCAACACTCTGATCAACTTGGAGTTGATCATCTGTTTATGTATTAACTCATCTGTAATTGTTTATTTTTCCTAAAACCATAAGCCTAGAAAGATCTCAGGAAGCCAGGAGCCCTGAGGACTGTACCACATCTATTATGAAGGACATGGATCCACAAAGGCTGGCTGGCTTCCTCAGGGCTAGCAGGCAAGCTGACCACAGACTCCTGAGCATCAGAGTACCTTGCTTTTCCACCTCAGGTTGCAGATCAGTTGCGGGCATGACAGTTATTCTGTAAGCTTTATCTGTGAGGGAGAGAAGGGAGTGGGGAAGACATCAAATCTTTCTAAAACAGTCCCACAACAGTATCCTATTTTACATCATGGTGACCCTCTACCAACCTGTAACAACCATTAACTGCCCAGCCCTGTCTCCTACAGCACTTCCCATTACCTGCACCACCTGCCCAGGGCAGGAGTTTGTATCAGTTACATTACTGAAAAGGGTTACTGGGGGTGGGGGTGGGGGAACCTAACTCTTTATAAATAAGTTGAAATGGCCAAGGATTACCATGTTCTTTAACTTCAAAGTATGTAGTTCCAGTTGTTGAAGCATCTTCTCTATATTTAGCCTTAATTGTCCATCTACCATGTCTGTGAAAGTCAAATGTTTGAAATCACAGAGAGTACCAGAGTCAATGTAATAGTTTCTATTTGAGAAGGTAAGAATATATGTACATGATTGCACACGCATGTGTGTGCAGGCACACACACACCCTAAGTAAGATTTTGGAGAAAATATTTTTTAAACAATAAATAGACAAAATTGAACATTTCAAAGATAACAGAGATTGTTTAATGGTTAGTTTTTCATATTGTATTCTTTTCCTACATATTTTAATATAGCAATTTTGTTTTGAGAGCTAATGACAGTTTCAGAATTTACTTAATCCAATCACAATATAGTAAAACATTGATAATAATGTCTCCAGAAAGATGGCATACCAGTGCTGAAATTCACACCTCATATGAACAAAATTCTATCTGGAAACCAAATACGGCTTGTTTAAAGAGTAAAGTAAACTGGCCAGCAACATTTATTCAGAACTATTTAGTGAGCACTACACTGAGACCAGAAACACACCAGACAGAAGAACCACAGACTTCAGAGTGGACAGTCCACTCAACTCCAAGAGTTTCATCCATTTTTTCCTAGCATATTTGATTCAGACAAGTTACTATATCTCATTTGGGAAAGGAAAAGAATACAATCTACCATGCAGACAGATGATGTGATCAGTGGAGGTGAACATCAGTGTTACCACAACAATCGTCAGCAGTCCAACAAGAATTTAACCAAGTCCCTATGATGCTGAATTACTGAGATAAAATGAACAATAAAGACAAGGGCCTTGACCTTAGGGAGTTTACAGTCTAGTATTGGTGGGGGAGGAGCAATGGGCGGTAAGGCGGCGGGGGGGGGGGGGGGAGAGACAGAGAGACAGAGACAGAGAGACAGAGAGATATTCGGAGAGAGAGTAAAGGGGACATTACATCACATCCAGGGATGGTATTTGTGCAAAGTATTGTTTCCCCATGTCCTGAAGAAGAGAACTGCAAGAGGCAGCGTAAGAGATGGTGTGTTTTGTGCAAAGAGGACAACAGATGCCAAGCTACTGAGGCAGGAGAGTGTAGTCATGGTGAGTTCCAATAATCTGCTATGGGACAACTGGCATGAGGAGAAATCTAGGAAATAACAATAGTGATTATGGGCTGGAGAGATGGCTCAGTGGTTAAGAGCTCTGACTTCTCTTCCAGAGGTCCTGAGTTCAATTCCCAGCAACCACATGGTGGCTCACAACCATCTGTAATGGGATCCGATGCACTCTTCTGGTGTGTCTGAAGACAGTGACAGTATACTCACACACATAAAATAAATAAATAATTCTTTAAAAAAAAGAATAGTAATTATATAACAAACTTAATTCTGCACTAGAGAATCTGTGGTAGCTAAAGAAATTGTATAATTTTAAATCGTCCCAACTTTAGTTCACGTGTTTAGGAAAAATGTTTTTGAAATGAACTCAATACGAAGTCCCCTAGAGAGGACAGAGGGAAAGTAACTGTAAAGCGGCTCTGCTGTAAGTTTATGTCGTGCGTTGCTTGTCCTTGATTTCGGTTTGGCATCTCGCTCTCTTATTGTGATTTACACGTACCAGGGGTGCTCGTTAAATATGTATTTCATCAGCTCCTGTATGAACATGGTCTTAAATCATTGCATGCGTCCAAAAAGCACAAAATTTCCTACACACAGACACACACATGCACAGGCAGACAGACAGACACACACACACACACACAGAGAGAAAGAGAGAGAGAGAGAGAGGAGGAGGAGAGAGAGAGAGAAAGAGAGAGGGAGAGAGGGAGGGAGGGAGGCAGAGAGAAAGAGAGAGAGAGAGAGAGAGAGAGAGAGAGAGAGAGAGAGAGAGAGAGAGA